CCTTTTGGTAATATTTGATAACATCTTTTAAAATGTTAAATGTTTTCCACTTTTTCATGAAAGCTCTGGGCAGTGTGGTATCTAACCATACAGACAGGTTTGAAGACAATCTGGATCCACATGCCACTAGACCTTCTTATGCTAAGTCCAGAGGGTAAGCAAGTGATTCTAAAGTCAAGGCTACCAGCTACTAGCTGCTGCATCTTTCTCATTTCCATAAGGAACTCAAGTACGTGACTAACTCCAATGTTTTGGACATTTATGTTAATCTCCATTCTAATCTGACCTGACATTGTATTAACATGATGTTTGCTAGTCACTTTGCTCATTGGTAACTGATAAAGCAATTTATAACTGGACAATATTTAATCCAAAGTAACCCATTTCAAAGACTTAGATATATTTGACAAATTTAGCATCGGGTCCAAAAAAAGACCTAGGTGCCTCCATGTTAGGTACTGCAGCACCTGGATTTTAGAGGTCTGACTTGCAAAGGAAATCCAGAACACAAAGTTAGGCATGCCAGGCTCCATACACAACCTGAGAAGAGTTTGGTGCCTGAGAAGCACATGCTAAAACTCAGGCAGAGTGGGGAGATGCCCAGACCTAGCCAACAGAAAACATTGAGCATAAGGGTGATCTGGAACACCTGTGCCTTGCTGGAGTACAACCATCCATGTCTGGGCAGCAAAGGAGGTGCCTCTGTGTGCACAGGATCCCACAACTTCTTCCTGATGGTAGGTACCCACAAATGTTCTTTCAAAGGAAGGACATGCTTGCTCTTCTTAAAACACTGCCAGAGGAAGGTGATGCTGCCACTGCCATCTTTACTATAACACCCTGTTGGTTAGAGACCTTCTCTAGGAATGGAGACCAGGGTTTTAGACCCTATGCTTACGTAAAATGGGGATCATGGGCGACTGGTAGGGGGTGCATGTGCTCCTCTGACAGCCGACACTGATGCTGTCAGCAGGGCTGGTGCCCCCCCTGACAGGGCTGCCACTGTCAGTGGCTTCTGTGGGTGTCCTCCCCCCGCCCCGATTTAGGAGGCACCAGTCACTCATGCTGGGGATATAATGCTCAAAGATCTACAGATGAAAAACAATACAAGATTCTTAATGTATTATTGGGGCATATGATGATTACTGGTTCCTATTTTAAGAAAGACTAGTATGACCAGCTAGTCTGACTTGACAGTACTGCATGCTGGGCTTAAGCTCCAGATAACTTCAAAGAGCCCTGATTCACTCTTGAGGGCTCGGCCATCAGAGAAGTTTTACCAATTTTGCAGCTATATTTACATGGTGATTAACAGAGCTGGCTGAAATGCTCTGAAGGAGCAGCTTACCATCAGAAAATACAGATACAGAAGAAATGAAAGGTTCTGCAGGAATATGTTAATCCCACTGAAATTTTTGACAGAAACAAGGCAAGCAGCATTTCCTACTGTCTAACCAGCTGATGGGCAGACAGGTGGGCTGCACAGCTACCTGGGCTCCCAGTCTCCTAGACCAAACTGTCTCTACAACTGCTTGGCTGGCTTGCTAAGAAGTCATCCCAATCCTGGAAACCCTTCTCATGAAAACTTATTTTTTCCAGCGCGAAGGTTGTCTGAGCCCAGTTCCACAAGCTTCTCTCTATGGCACAAATGAACTGAATTTTAAATGAGAATACACTGACTGAAAATAGTGTTATGAACAAGGGACAAATGTATTGAATTTGGAAAGGCTGGCAAGGACTGAAAAATCAACTCAAAGCCCGGAGCAAGCACCCCAAGAAAGGGCCTCGACATTGAACAATGAGCTAATAGGGAAAGGTTAATTTATTGCTGTTTTACTGCAGTCATTTTACAATTACTTTTAGTCACTGACTAAAATCTTTAAAAAGCAGTAGTAATATTTAAAGAGTGCCAAGGAGACTGAGTTGCATGAAAAATATTGACATTACCTGCATAATCAATTTTCCCCAGCCAAACAAAAAAAGGATTCAATTAATACAATTTGCAGGACTGTAAATGTACTAAGCTATGAAGTCAGGCTTCTGATTTTCTGGGAAAGATCAGTTAAATTAATGATTTGGTGTCTTGCTCAGCCTCTTGTGAAGTATATGAGGCTTAATAAAATTAACATTGTGCTTCCATATCATGACACCAAGCGAGCTCAAGATGATGGTCACAAACCTTACCTCACTTAATGCCTAATAAACCTCTTACTACCCACCCTGAGTAAAGGTCACAAAAGGGACACGTGACCTGTTGCTGAAAACAGGCACCTTTGCTCTAGCGCACACCTGTAAAGGATAGGAAATGATAATGAATGCTGTGAGGCCTGGAGGCAGGCATCTCTATATTGGATTTCCATGTCAAAAGAATTCCCATGATTAGCATGATTGTTTTAGCAACATTGTACCAGCAAGGAAGCAATGGTTTCTCATCTAGATATGGTTCAACCCCTATCAGTTGCCAGTAGTGTTTAAGCGGCCTTTCCCTCTGTTGCCCCCAGTGGTGAAAATGGACCAGCTGTATCAATAGGTGGAAGATTTCCAAAAAAAAAGCTTTATATAGGCAAAGCCCATGCCACCACTGTTGTCAGAAGAATTTGTCTCTTCAAAGATCCTGACAGTGCCTGTTCCACCTTTATTAAAAGAAGCAGCCAATTTTATCTATTCCTTTTACGGTCCTTTAATACAAGTGTCAGAATTTTTCTGTCCAACTGGAAATGCAGGGCAAATCTGGAGAGATCGAATACAATTACCTGCGGTATTTGAGTCAGTCATGGGATAAAACACTGCACTTAGGAAACAATGCTCCGGCAATTCTGTTAGCCAAAGGAGTCCAGGTCTTCCAGTTCACTCCTCTTCTGAAAAGCAGCACCCTTGCACAACACAGCATACCAAATCACCATGCTAGGGTACTGGCTAATCACTAAGGTGGAGGACTATCTGCCAAACTCCCAATGCAGCTTTTTGCATTTCTAGCCTGAAACACCCTGATCTACATGAGCTCCTGAAATCAGGTAAGATCACAGCAGCTGGGTAGGCAGAGTACGCTGCATTTAAAAGCAACAGGATAGAGAGTGCAAAGATGCATGACAATTTCTAATGCATAACTAACCATACTTTGTACTATACCCCCTACATAATGTCTCCCAGTGTTTGGCTACCACAACACACTGTCATTAGCAACCCTAACCACCTCAACTTCTTTTTATTTATCCAAGTAAAGGAAGGAAACTATTTTCTCTGGAAAATATTTCAGCAGAAATGTAAGTCTGTTGACAGCATGGGAATGTTTCCTTTAATTCAGTAACAACTGTCTTCTCAAGTCATAAACTCCAGGTCCAAGGTGCTTTTTAGCCAAAGATTTGGTTATTATGAAGTTAACTTTAGCAGGCTTTCTGCTACTTGCTACATCATCTTCATCAATTCATGGAAGTGGGAGCTTTTTGAGTAGGACCAGTGCTGAAAGTCTTCTGAAGCTGCAAACCTGGAATAACCTGTAAACTCATTTCCATTATCTCCAAAGATGGCTCATCATCTCTCATGGACTAAACCGATTTCAGTTCATTTCAAGAAGCAGGATTGCTTTGCAAACACCACCTCCTTCACATCTCAGCTGGCACCCAATGAGAAAGCCAAGTGAAAAGTTACCTGCAAGTTTTAATGAGACCATTGGTTACCGTAGTAGCACCAGGCTGGATGACCCTGTGCTACTGGGATGGTGAGCTCCCCAAGGTCTTCCAGCTGCAGCCTGCGGTAAACAGTGTGGTGTAACGCCTATGGCGCGGGAGACAAGGTGTAGGCAAAAGAGGGGAGAGGGAGGGGACAAATACGAGCTCTGGAGTTGGCAGGGACCTTCCAAGTCACCTAATCCAACCTCCTGTGGGACCTGTGCGGACCCAGCCTCTTCCGGACAGCCTCCAGGGAAGGAGAAGCCGCAGCCTCTCCAGCAGCTCCTCTTCTTTCCTCCAGGCAGGGCGCCTCCTCCGAGCCCAGCGACTGAGGGGAGGGAGGCAGAGACGCCCACGCCTCCGGGAACCGCAGGCTGCCCCTCCAGCTCCTCCCGGGCCGGCTTCGCGCCC